GATCCCTCCCTTAGAAAAAAATCCCTACTTATTCAGATGGAAAATACCAGCTCAAGTTCTTAGTCTGCAGCAAAGAGTGTGAAGAGGTGCCACACAACTTAAATTCAATAGAATATTTTATCACCATTACTTGTCTTGTTCTTTATCACATTACATGTAAGCATTGCACCTTAAAATATTAGCAAAAATTCCTAATTAAATCAACTGTTGGATAAAATATCAAAAAAAAATATATGCTAAAGAAAGAAGGGTTTGCTGCCTGTCCCTGACAGGCGAACTTCATGTTTAACAACCAGTATGAAACTATTGTGACATCCCCCTTTGGTTTGTGGAGTACTGTTCTGAAGCCTTAAGTTTGGAGTTTTGGCCGTCGCCATGATGGTTAGACAGAGCCAGCAGAGGTGACGTACTGCTGGGTTGAGCTGCGCTCATTGGCTACGCGGTTTCAACTCATCCGTAGAAGGAAACAATGCGGCTCACCCGGTCACCCATGTACACCCTGTCTCCGGTTCACCACTTTTCCTTCCTTGGACCACTTTTAATAGGTACTGACCACTGCAAACCGGGAACACCCCACAAGAGCTGCAGTTTTGGAGATGGTCTGACCCAGTCGTCTAGCCATCACAATTTGGCCTTTGTCAAAGTTGCTCAAATTCTCACACTGCTCATTTTTCCTGCTTCTAACACATCAACTTTAAGGACAAAATGTTCACTAGCTGCCTAATATATCCCACCGCCCTATAAACTCTGGAAGGCCTCTTCACATTCCTCTGTCTACTGAACTTTGTTGGGTTAATTCTTCCTGATGAGGTTGATGAGTGGGGCCACAAGAGTGGAAAAGTTTTGGATGAACCGTCCATTCCACCCCACCAGACCAAGGAAAGACTTCACCTTGGATTTTGTTTTGGGCCAATTTGATGGCTCTTGATGACCTTTGCCATTTGTGGACCCAGTACCCCATCCCCCAGCACAAAACCCAAGTACTGAGTCTCTCTTTCCCCTAGCTCAACCAAGGGTGCACACTTGAGAGTTCTACGTTTATTTATCCATACATTCATATGTAACTTACCATTAGTGATGGAAGAGCACTGCAAAGTTGCACTGCTGTCTCACATTAGGAGACTGGCTGGCCAAACAAGGGCATAATACAGTCTTTTTCCAAGTTTTCCATTTTTGACCACTTTCTGTAAATATTAGCACTGTTTTTCACCTTGAGGGGGCCAACAATAAATCGCACCAACAATACCTGCAGACTACGCCTGAGTTTTTGAGGAGTTTGAAATAAACCCCATGACAAGAACCTGCCAGTATCCCTTGCTGATGTACCTTGCAACGCCTATTCTCTCAACCAGGTCATGGAGTCTTGGCATCAGATACAAGTCCAGTTTACTGACCCCATTTACCTTTCTAAAGTCCAAATAAAACCTCAAGGTGCAGTCCTTTTGGGGGACTAAGATGACCAGGGTGCCCCATTCACTGGAAGAAGGTTCTATAACACCCATCTTCCTCATCATCTCCAGCTCTTTCTTCAGTACTGGTTGCAGGTGCCCTGGAACCCTGTAGACAGGCTGTCAAAGGGGGGCTTGGGGTCCTTCAGCATAATATTGTGCTGGACCACCTCTGTGCAAAATCTTGAGATGCTCCATCCTCTTCTTCTCACACAGGTGGTCCAGGTGCAATTGCTTCTCAAGTTCCATGTTGATATGGAAGGTTTGGTATAGCTGTTTCTGTTTAGGCATGTGGATCTGGTATGGTACAACACCCATCTCCTGCTTGATCTGGTATGGGCCATGCCACTTTGCTCTGATGTTGAGATATTGAGTTACGATCTGCAGCTACACTGCTAGATATACTATTAAATCTAACTGGACCTTTTAAATATAGTCAAACTACAGTGTGACATAAAGACACATTTATTTTTTTTCCTATACGTCTTTTATTTTATTTTTTATCACCTTGTAAAGCAATTTGACACTGTCAATAGTTGATCTGTGACATTGCTGTGATATTCTTTCTGTTTAGGTGTGGTTTGAATGAACAAAGTCCAGACAATAAATGGGTTCAGTTAAAACTCTGTAATGTAAGATGGTAATGTAAGAAAAGCAATGGACACCATAATATAGTTTGCTTCATGTTGCAGAACCTTATCCCTGAAAGCATTTTCCCACTACACCAGACTCCTCTCCACTTCACGTCTAAACCACCCCAAATCAATGTCAGGACACAATTTCATTTTATTCAATACAAGGCTAATGCAGGATGAGCCAAAATCTCTATTTGCCTATTATGCTCCTGAAGGAGTGCTAATGTAAATTAAAGAACAGCTCATGGTAGGGTAAAATATTTAAGGTGTATTGCACTCATTTTGTGTTAATATTAAAATCATTCAGCTTTAAGTTGTTTGCTTGTTATTACCTTAATACTCCTCTGTAGCTAACGTTAGCTGTGTGTGTGCGTGTATGTGTGTGTTCACAGGCAGGCTTTGGTTGTCGTGGCAACCAGGGGAGGCCACAGCAGCTGTGCGCGCTCTCTCTCTGTCTCTAACTCTTGAGAGAGACAGAAACATTTAAAATGAATCCCCTCGAACCCATGGCCAGGACCGACCGAAATGAAAACCGAAAAGACCGTGAGCGTCGTCATCTTGTTGACCATAGGACTGCCGAGTTTCAGTGGCTGAAGTTAAAAAATGTGACCTCGGGACATTGAGAAAGGAGAGGTTCAACGAGCTCCTTTCAAGATTTGTCCTCTACATTTAACATGGGGAGTAGACGGGGCCGTGAGAGGGTGTTGCTGGCGCATCAGTGCGTCTCCCGCCAAAACTATTTGTCTGACAGCTTCAGCAGTGGTATCACTGCGACCCCAACGGATTTACCTACGTTTCTATCTATAAATTATTTCTTGGATGGGATCGGGACATCCCTATTATGAATTGCATCTTGTATTGTGTATTGTAGCTTACATACTACAACTCACTTTAATTGCAAACTGATGCTGGAATAAATGAAGGACTGAATTTTCTGTTATGTGTGTCAGCACATCCAGAATGAAAGATGTAATTTCGATTTCTACAAGACAAGAGTGGACAGGCTGTTTCAGATTTTTGTGTGTGTCTGTACGCTGTGGCAGAGGTATAAACTATTCAATGAACCTTCATTTTTAACAATAATTTAATCATATATACTTCATAGACTATTTTCTTCTCCCTAATGCTTGGCCATTGTTGTATTAGTTTAATATTTACTGAAGTGGGACGAGGTTGTTTAGAAGAGACTGTTTCCAGTGAATATAGCTTGTGTTCAGGATCTTAAATAATAATTGAAACATTAAAAATAACAATTTCATTTAGTTTCCTTCACAGAAATAAACAAAATGCTGAGATGATATAGGCCTACAGTGTATTTTTTCTTAGACCTCCTTTATCCACCCCTAGTGGGGGTCCTGACCCCCGGTTTGGAACCCTGGTTTAAGTAATTAATACTTTCCACTTTTACTTAGAAAATTCTTGCCATAGTTTTTTTGTTAATGTGTGAGCAGGGCATGTAATCAAACACCAAGAACTGCACCAGTGAAGGCAAGGAAGAAGAAGAGTGCTAGGCCATGAATAAATATAAATGCAAATCTTAAAGCTGCAGTAGGTAACTTTTATAAAATAACTTTTTTATCTTATTTGTTTAAACATTCACTATATCCTGACATCAGTATGAGACCGATAATTTGTGAAAAATCATGTTCCTCTGGCTCCTTCTAGTGCTCCTAATGGCATTTGCAAGAATCCACCAGGCCTGAACAAAAACAACCAATCAGTGCAGAGAAAAGTATAAAGATGCTTTGGGTTGGAGGCTTGAAGATTAAGAAGCCATTAAGAGCATTACGATGAGCCAGAGGAACCTGTATTTTTCTCAGATTATCTGTCTGCTACTGTCAGTATAGTGAAAGTTTCAGCAAATATGACAAAAACATTTTTTATAAAAACATCTCCTGTAGCTTTAAAATATTAAAATGTCATCTTTGCTTATCTTTTATAAGTAAACATATATGTTTGTGTTCATCACACATCATGCATTTTCTGATCTGCCACAGCTGTGGTTACAGCAATAGTTTGACATTTTGGGAAATCCGATCAGATCAGTACCACTCTCACATCTGTAATTACACAGCCAGAGACAGCAGCTGGTTATCTTAGATTGGCATGAAGACTGGACATGGGGAAACAGCTAGCTTGGCTTTGTCGAAAGGTAAACAAAATTCACATATCAGACACAGGGGCCAGACAAAGAGCGATTCAGTGCAGCGGCCAAGAAGGAGTAGCAGCACCTTGGCCAGAAATGGGAAACCAGGGCTCCCTCCTGGAGCCACACCCTGGAGCCACACCCTGGAGCCACACCATGGAGCAAGCTGTTTCCCTGTTACCAGTCTCTATGCTAGCTGTGCGTCTCGTGGTTCCAGCTGCATGATAACTGTGAATAAGGGTAAATAACTTTTAATTAAGTTTACGGAATTAAAAATAATTTTTTCTATCATGGACGGGATAGCAAAGTTTCTTGGTGTTATAGTCAGACAGTATGTCTGAGAGTTTTGCTGTATTATAACAACTTTGCTTTTTCTTATGGAAGACAATGTGACGGAAAAAAAGGATTCTTAAAGTCAATATAATTAGAATTTTTTTCAAAATAATGACTTAGTATCTCAATATTTTGACTTGGTAAAATAATGTTTTATTAAAAGTTTCTAATTATCTGAATGAGATCTTGCAGATTGAAACGTTGCTTTATAAAAAGGGAATAAAAATAATCATTTGGACCCCCTCAGTGTACAGACTTTTTCTCTTTTGTGTCTTGCAGTAATATTTTTGCCTGGGTGTGCACACACTTGATGCGTCTTCTGTACTAAAACGTCATGGCAACCCATCTGATAGCTGTTGAGATATCTCAGTGTGGACTAAAGTTGTGGGATGATGAAAATGCACTGTAACCAAATATGGTGAGGGAACAAATCTGTATTGAACAAACTCATGTCAGATAAGTAAGAAATAATACCCGGGAAGGTGTCCATTATCAGGAATGAAGGCCAGAATCTCCGCTTCAGGGAAGTCCATTAATTCCTGATAATAGACACCTCGAAGGGCATTATCCCACTTATACAATGGTCACTTGCCAAAGAAAGAAAAGGAAGATCAATATTTTATATTTTCATGCATTTTGCAATTGAAATCTAAACTTTTTTACTAGCCATAACTTCATTTCCCTGGTAACACCTGAGTTCCTACCTAATACCTGGAAGAATCATTACCATCCCATAAGGTTCTAATGCAATGCAAACGTTATTCACTACTCCAGTCAATAGGACGAACCTTAGATATGACTTGACAATGGGAGATATTTCTAGTTCCCTCTGTTTGTAGAACACTTTGGCTCAGCTACGAGACACAGAGCTAACGCTATGCTAGCTAGATTAAAAGGGAATAACAACAATTGACAAACGGTAAATATAATTTGACAGTATGTTTAACAATACAAGCTAGCTATCCAGCCATGTCCTTGTCCCCAAATCAATATCAAGCTATATATGATTCTAAAACTGTAAACCCATTAACTTGAATGTTTTTCTAGCTTCTCAATTTACATCTCAATCACACCTTCCACATATTTGATTTTATTTTAGGTTACTTTATGTCCAACACCTTGCATTACATTGACAGGAGTGCTGTGTTCATAAAATTTAATAATAACCACACCTATTCACCTATGCTCTATAATTATCTTCACTCTGCCGTTCTGCATGTTTTTGCATGCTGGTGAACATTCATGGAATAATAGAATCAAAATAGCAGGTGCACAGGTGCACACACACTTGTATCACCTACCTTGCCCTTGGAATTTGCTATTCAAAGTAGAACCGAGCCTTGCTATCAAATTATTATAAGTACATAATATACAATCAAAAAATAAAAATAAATTAGATCAAAATAGTAGTAAAGTCTTTACACTGCCAATAACATTTGTTTAAGTTCAAAAGTTGGGTTTATTTTCCCCAAAAAGATTAAATAAAACAAATTACTGAAGGCAAATGAATTAACTGAGTTATAGGGGCCAACAAAACATAAGTCTACTGAACCATAATGCTAGAAAAACAAGATGTTAACTCATCCAGTGGAACAGAATGACCATACATATTCAACTGTGTGTCTTTGTTTAACCAAACACACCTACTGTAGTCCTTTCCCGTTCTGCCAGTGCCACATGAACGTATCTCAACATTTAACCAGGTGTTCAACGGCAGCATTCTCTTCCTCAGTTGCCTCACCCCTTTCTCTCGGTAAGATAATATATATACCTATATTTATATCTTAAACACATTTCAATTGATTGTGAGATTAAATGTATAACTTGGTATACAGTGACAGAGTGTAGCTTTTTAATGGGATGAATGCTGAAATACAAAGTGCAAATGATTTTGTCTATGAATGATACTCAACCCAGCCAGTAACTGTGGCTTTAGTTCTTTCTATGCTGTTGTCTGGCATAATATTGTATTATGTAATGTATTTTTTATCCAAGAAACTACTGAAGGTAAGAAGAAAGATATAAAAAAACATTTTATGTTAATTTATTAATATGGTAAATATTAATATTAAATATTCTTGCTCTTGTCTCAAAATGTGCCTTATGTTACCTCTTAAACTACTTATGTTTTTTATATGATTTTTCTCTTGCTTGTAGTACAGCATGGCAGCAGGACCTAAAGTTAAACTAAAGTAAAGATAATTTCCTTGTAAGGTTTATTAAATTGCATTTCCTGTTCCCTTTTTTTTTCTTTTTATTTTATTCCCTGTTTAGTTAGTCAGTTTAAACTGTTCTTCTTCATAGAAAAAACACATTCTATACAACGTTGAGTTTGGACACAAATATGTCCAGAGAACAGAAAAGTATCCTGATACACTGCATCACTTAATCCTTTTATTAATTTAATTGTTATGTTACTCCTTTATTATCCTCTTTCAGAGTCATATAACCAGTTTGACCAAAGTCTCAAATATTATTCCACTATACAGACAACTACTTTGAAGATTTTCTAAATGCTGATGGCTGCCAAACAAACAGGTGGCATTTATGTTTTCATTGTGTTGTCTATATTTATCTACCACTGCCTGAGGGCACCTGCCAAACTAGGAGTGGTTGCATATTAAATATTTCTTTTAATGTTGTTCATAACACGTTTTCCATGTATTGACTCACCTGTGTGTTTCATCACATTTTGTATCAACAGAATCTGCTCTTCATTCAAAACGCTGCCAAGATGGTTCCCAGATTGGGCAACACCCAAGTTCTCATTTACCTACTGTGTATCACTGCCATTGGTGTGTTATCTAGATATTCATGGGATATGTCTTTACATTACCTCGGCCCTGAGAATTCAGGTCTTTGTGCCTGTCACAAATGTTTAACAGAGAGTGATCCATGGTTTAGGGAGCTCATCAATTCTTCTCCAACACCCTTTTTGTCAAGAAACTATACAAGCTCAGAGGATGATTTCATTTGGTGGAAGGTAAATATCAACTTATCTTTACACACATAATTTCAGTGTTAATAAATTTAGAGACTCTGACTGTTTTTGGTGTTTTCTGCACTTTTTCTGTTCCTTTATACCCCAAGAAGAACCTGTATAGTGTCAGGAAACAAAAAAAACCTTTGATGCATAGGAAGATAAAATAGCAGTAAAAATCCATTGTAGCATATAAAACGTGTGAAAAAAGTTCAAATTAAAACAATGTTGCCAATCACATAAAAATGAAGTGGAAAACAACAATAATCAACTACGTGTGCCAACAAATTTCTGCAGTCACATTTAAAGTGTCTATAATCTTTGATATCGATATTGCTGTTTTTAGTTAAAAAGTACACTCTGTACACTATCTGCTCCAAGTGGAGCAAATACAGCTAAAGAGTTGCATATATTCCTTGTGAGCTGGGGCCAGATGTATAAACAATGTGTATGCACAAAAACCATGCATGGACCTCACAGTAGCTCACCTAGTGGAGCACGTACGGCTGTGTGTGTGTGAGAGAGCAGCTCCTCCTGCTCAGGGGAGAGAGCAGTAGAGATAGACAACCACTCTCAACACCACACTGCAAGTCCAACATAGATCCTGCGGACAAAAAACCTAATAAGAGTAATTAATAAATGTAATTTGCGCAAAAGATCACTGAGTAGAATACAGAGGCTGCAACGATGAGGGTTTGTTATTTTATACTCGAAGATGAAAGTAAAACAAACAGTGCATTACTGCAATACAGAGCTATTCAATTGTCAAGCACTGGATTGGTTTGAGTAGCTTTAATATACTTAAACTGTGCACTGTATTATCTAAAAATAATACTGGATTGGATCGGGACTCGGTAACAGCAGATACTCAACATTACATGACTTTGATGGGATCGGGACATCCCTATTATGAATTGCATCTTGTATTGTGTATTGTAGCTTACATACTACAACTCACTTTAATTGCAAACTGATGCTGGAATGAATGATGGACTGAATTTTCTGTTATGTGTGTCAGCACATCCAGAATGAAAGACGAAACTTCGATTCCTACAAGACAACAGTGGACAGACTGTTTCAGATTTTCCCACCCATTCCAGATGTTGTAGGACCCAGCCCTGACCGCTGCAGGACTTGTGCTGTGGTGGGGAATTCTGGTAACTTGAAGGGATCACATTATGGACCTCTGATTGATTCTCATGATATCATAATAAGGTAAATCACCAGCGTTCAGTTAAATCCCCAAATTCTGCCACTTAATTCAGGAATTCCATGCAACTTCAATTCAACTTCAATCACCATGTTATTGTTCTTCAACTACATGATATTAAATGTGTATCCCCTGTATCTTTTAGAATGAACCATGGCCGTACCAAAGGCTATGAAGCAGATGTTGGGAACAAAACAACACACCATGTGATGTATCCAGAGAGTGCTATAAATCTGGACAACACCACACATCTTGTGCTGTTTCCATTCAAGATCGATGATTTACTGTGGCTCCTCAAATCCTTCGATCCAGGGTAGGTCTCAGCTCACAGAGGATCACAGTCATACATCTAATATGAATGAAAATGGTGTTTGTGTGTGTCTGTACGCTGTGGCAGAGGTATAAACTATTCAATGAACCTTCATTTTTAACAATAATTTAATCATATATACTTCATAGACTACATTTTCTTCTCCCTAATGCTTGGCCATTGTTGTATTAGTTTAATATTTACTAAAGTGGGACGAGGTTGTTTAGAAGAGACTGTACGCTCAGTGAATATAGCTTGTGTTCAGGATCTTAAATAATAATTGAAACATTAAAAATAACAATTTCATTTAGTTTCCTTCACAGAAATAAACAAAATGCTGAGATGATATAGGCCTACAGTGTATTTTTTCTTAGACCTCCTTTATCCACCCCTAGTGGGGGTCCTGACCCCCGGTTTGGAACCCTGGTTTAAGTAATTAATACTTTCCAATTTTACTTAGAAAATTCTTGCCATAGTTTTTTTGTTAATGTGTGAGCAGGGCATGTAATCTGTGAATGGAACATTGACATATTATCACCTTATAAAGTTGATATGACAAATGTGTTAGAATACAATTGCTTCTTTACACTAAGGGCAGCATTAGAATTAATTTGGACTAGGTAAAGTAGTCTTACACCATTTTTACCAAATAATACTTGGTAATCAGTTTACATTTTACTAAATTTAACAATTAATGTTGCATCCAACAGGGAAAACAGTGCTAACAAGGCGAGGAGAGCTAACAAAGATTTGGTGAGTATCAAGTCATCCAGTGATTTGTATTGTATCGAGCATTTATTAGAGAAAGGAATGTTTTATTAATGTCAGATTAATGTCAGTTTAAGTCTGATTCATAACAGGTGATGATCCTCAATCCAGCTTTCATGAAATACGTTCATGAAATGTGGTTGGGAAAGAAGGGCAATTATCCATCCACTGGCTTTCTGACTTTGGCTCTCAGCACGCAAATGTGTGATGAGGTAAGTTCACATTACACATTGTGCCAACAGCTTAATGCTATCCTACTGATATCTGGTGGCAGTCAAACACCAAGAACTGCACCAGTGAAGGCAAAGAAGAAGAAGAGTGCTAGGCCATGAATAAATATAAATGCAAATCTTAAAGCTGCAGTAGGTAACTTTTATAAAAATAACTTTTTTATCTCATTTGTTTAAACATTCACTATATCCTGACATCAGTATGAGACCGATAATTTGTGAAAAAATCATGTTCCTCTGGCTCCTTCTAGTGCTCCTAATGGCATTTGCAAGAATCCACCAGGCAATGAACAAATGACCAATCAGAGCCAAGAAAAGTATAAAGATGCTTTGGGTTGGAGGCTTGAAGATTAAGAAGCCACGGGTTCCTCTGGCTACGACAAGCCAGAGGAACCTGTATTTTTCTCAGATTATCTGTCTGCTACTGTCAGTATAGTGAAAGTTTCAGCAAATATGACAAAAACATTTTTATAAAAACATCTCCTGTAGCTTTAAAATATTAAAACGTCATCTTTGCTAATCTTTTATAAGTAAACATATATGTTTGTGTTCATCACACATCATGCATTTTCTGATCTGCTACAGCTGTGGTTACAGCAATAGTTTGACATTTTGGGAAATCCTCTTACACATCTGTAGTTACGTAGCCAGAGACAGCAGCTGGTTATCTTAGATTGGCATGAAGATTGGAAATGGGGAAACAGCTAGCTTGGCTTTGTCCAAAGGTAAACAAAATTCATATCAGACACAGGGGCCAGACAAAGAGCGATTCAGTGCAGCGGCCAAGAAGGAGTAGCAGCACCTTGGCCGGAAAAGGGAAACCAGGGCTCCCTCCTGCAGCCACACCCTCGAGCCACACCCTGGAGCCACACATGGAGCAGTGGCGGACTGGCCATCGGGAGCACCGGGATATTTCCCAGTGGCCTGGCCGCCGAACTGGCCCGCTCTGCAATTGCCGATGGTCGGGACCAAAGGCTCGGTTCTGGTCGCGCTTGATTTTGAAATAAACAATCCGTCGTGCGGCTCATTAGGGTATCTGCCTCACTGAAGCTCACACAGACTGAACAGCAACGTTGGGCACAAACACACCCCCTCCTCTCTTTTTCTGAGGCTCTCTGTCACAGTTCTGCAGGCAAGCGCACGCGCACACACACACACACACACACACACACACACACACACCAAGTTGCGCCCCCGCCCCCCTCCTCCCTCCTCCCTCACCTGTAGTTCTACATGCTTGAAAAATGGAGCGAGATCGACAGCCCAAGAGGAAAGGTGGAGCAGAGAGGGAGAGGCTTAAAAAGCTAAAAGCACTGACCACAGATGCATTGAAGTGCTGTAAAATAACTGACATGTTTGTCAGTAAGGGAGTAGGTAACACATTAAACACTAGTGGTGACAAGAGACGCACAACCAGAGCCTATCCAGCACCACTAGCTTCATGAGGAGGTTAGTTCCACTTTGTGGAAGCTGATGGGGCTAAAACTGACTTAATAAAACAAATGTTTTAAGTTGTAACAAAGGATGTTGCAAATTTTAGAATATGGTTAACTAACATAGACACAACATAATAAGTCAATGCATATAAACCTACACATCTGCAGTGCGCCACCTGTGTACCTCTCACTTGTGGTATGATACTATGGTTGACACAGCGGTCAACTTCATAACTAGTCTGGTACCTGTTACATTAAAAATAGGATTGGTCTCAAGTTTAGGTGGATGATGGTGTAACCTATTTTATTTCTTCTACTACTACACTGTTAAATGTGCAGCCTGCATTTATTTTGTAGGGGAAAGAAACACAAAAAGCTGTGTGTGGGCGCATGTGGAGCCTTTGCTTTATTATTTTACACTCTTACATCAGTAGGCGCCAAACCTAACTCACTCTTGGTATTTTGCGTTAATCAGGTGGTGGTGGCCTGGGATGGTATCAAATTCCCGGCCTGAATTATTGTCCCAGTCCACCCCTGCCCTGGAGCCACACCCTGGAGCAAGCCGTTTCCCTGTTACCAGTCTCTGCATGATAAGTGTGAATGAGCATAAATAACTTTTAGTTAAGTTTTAGGGAATTAAAACTACTTTGTTAAGGGTTGGGAAAGATCTCTCTTTAGTAACACTGTGGAGTGCAGCACCATAGCAGTATGAAATGTAAGTTAGAATATGCAGAAATGTACTGTATGCAGAAATAAGAAAGACAATTCTATGGAGCATTTATTCAAATCCAGCTGAGATTCATGGTGTGTTTGTTTTCCCAGGTCAATGTTTTTGGGTTTGGAGCAGACAGAGATGGAAACTGGAACCATTACTTTGAGATTCTCAAAAACAAACAGCTGAGAACTGGACCTCATGCTGGAATGCATGAACATGAAGTTATTCTGAAATTAAAGGAGCAGCAGAAAATTGGTGTTTTTAAAGGATGGTAATTTCTTTCTCTGTTTGTGTCTTCCTTTATTTGTCAGTGGCATTAACATGAGCACCAAGTACTTTAGCTTTAAGAGAGAAACGGAAAATAAATGTTTGGCAGTTGACTTGGCCTTTTATTAGTTAGTTAGTAATTAGTTCTGAGCCTAAAAAGAGATTATGAATGGGCAGAATATCTACTGTCAGAGAGAGACAGCAGAGACAGATCCTAACCAAGTCCAGGCTCAGTGAGCACAACCTGGAAATTGAAAAAGGAAGACACAAACAACGTAGAAACCAAAAGAAAACTTATATAGTAATATGTGGTCACTGTTGGACAGGTGATGTTGAGACAGAGATGCACTTCCTGTCCTACAATGTAAAACATTCATTTGAACAAATGAAATCCTGTAATCCCAGATTTCAACAATGTATATGACCACTCAAAATTAAAATGAATCCTACGAGAAGGAGACAGGGCATATATTGATGCCCAATATGAGTGCCACATACAGTGAGTGACCTCGACACACACACACACACACACACACACACACACACACAGACACACACACACACACACACACACACACACACACACACACACTTCCTTTTATGGTAAGTTCTGTGTCTTTTAACTCCAAATGTATTTTAAAATTGTTCTACTTTATTTCAAGTTATTTTTTTATACACATATTACACCTATCTCCAATAGAAAGCATTACAAACTGTGCATGAGTTTGAAAGATATGGGCATATACCAGGCAGGGAGGGTCAACCTAATATATATATTTTTAGATGGGTCAATCCAAGTACGAAATTTTGATTTCAGAGGTGGGGGGGACACAAGTATTTTTAATAAAACTCTAACTCTTTCAGTTCACTGTGTTTTCTAGTAGTTCTTCTAGTTTTCTATTGCTACTTTTAAGTTTACTGTTCCTTTTTTGGTTTTTACTGCTTGTAAAGCATGTAGCAAAATATTATCCCCCAATTCTGTGTTTCACCTTATTAATCAACTTCACTCCAACTCAGTACCACCAATTTTACACTTATTTTTGGAATATATGGTAAAGAGACCTCATTTACATAGCACCACCTAGTGGTGGGCAGGTCAAACTGGCAGGAATATCACAGGTGGGGAGAAATTGAATAAAATGTCCATAATTCAGTGTAAGTAGTCAAGTAATCAATTTTATTTGAAATGAGTGTAACAGAGAACCACTGTCATTTTTAGGCAGTTATATGGAAGAAAATCCTATTTTTGATGTAAATGAAAAGTGAACAAGGGTCAATTTGACCCAAAGACCACAGAAGGGTCAACATAATCAACTCATCCAGAGCTTCCAAACACATGTTGTCTTCGATCATTGGCAGAGATAAATTCCTGGCAGAGTTTCTTCCTGTCCAAGGCATCAAGCCTTTCTCGCTGTTTGTGACAAACTGCCACATTGTTCAGGCGTTTGTGCTTCATGCAGTTGCGAGGCCAGGTCTTTAACCTCCTTTAAAACTCCTCTCAGACTGGTGTGCAAGCAAGATGGAGTGACAGCGGGGACGGCCAATCACACAAGAAACGGCAGAGCCAATCGAGGAGCTTGTGGGCAGTCTAAACTAAGGGAAACAGGCTTCAGCTTGTCCTAGTGCTTGACGGGTCTCTGCTTACTATAGCGTAACATTGTTTTTGGACGGTAAAAACTGCAGGGGACCAAAACGGCCTTTTGAAAAAGGGCAGCCCCTGTGTCTTGTAAATATGTTGTTTGTTGATTTGGAGTTGTAACGAAAGTAATTTCCCCCTGGGATTAGTCTTTCTGATTCTGATTCTGATTAGAAGATATAAAACTATAAATTAAAGTATATACACTATGCATTGTTCAAGTAGGACATGGAGTGCAAAATATAAGCAGAAAATTAAACTTGACTAAAACTAAAAAACTAAAACTAAACTAAAACTACTAAACTACTAAAGTGGAAATTAAATAGAAATAGTGCAAAAGGCTTGTGCGTTGGAGGTAGGAGTTTTAAACCAGTCTTTGGTACTGTGTGCTGTGGCATTGTGGAGTCTGATGGCTGATGTTGCAAACGAGGGGCTGAGTCAGTCTGTGGCTGAACGTGCTCCTGAGCTGCCTGAGCTCAGTGTAGAGAGGATGAGAGGGCTTGTCCATGATGGCTTTCAGCTTCCCTCTCATCCTCTTCTCAGTCACAGCCTCCACACTGTCCAGCTCCATCTCCACCACCGAACTGGCCTTCCTCACCAGCTTGCTAAGCTTGTTGGCACCCTCAGTGCCGATGCCTCCCCCCCAACAGACCACCGCTACGAAGAGGACACTGGCCACTACAGATTGGTAGAACATCTGTAGATGTTAGATGTAAGAGCTAACCTAACCCAGCTTGGACCTTAGGGTGCTGTATTATCAACACTATCTGTTTGCTGCTGTTCACATTCCAGATTTACAAATTCAAAATGCACTAGGCTACAGGATGATTATGCGACTTTACTGTTGTATATGTGAATATGTAAATATGTATATATTGTTTTATTTTATTGTCAATGAAAATATTTGAATATATGTTCTGTGTGTGAAGCTTGAAGGCATTGCAACTTACATTTTACGAAGTAACCTTTGTTGTAAATTGACAAATTACCTTGATTCCTACTGCTTTTCAGTTGGTTTCATGTATTAATTCTAGGAAGGTCACAGTCTCCTCATCGCTCAACACAGATCTGATGTCTTCATCTGCCACTAACACATTTTTTTTGTGATATTTTGACTTTTTTTCTATATTTCCACTTAGGTCTTTTATGTGCAACTTGCAAATGCTTACAACAGCAGGTGGATGGAAACTTAATAGCACACAAGTCAAATGGAACACACAGCACACAAACAAACAAACAAATCTTGCATTGTCACCATTTTTCTTAAGGTGGTAGCACATTAACATTAGCCAATTAGCACAAATGAATCACCAAACGTATCACCTGAGGATTCATTCTCTGGGCTCCATGACTGTCTAAAAAAATTCATAGCAATCCATTCAATAGTTGTTGAGATGTTTCAATGAGGACAGAAGTGGTGGCTAAACAAATCTATATTTTTTTGTAAAGTCACCAGTTAATGCTCAAAATAAGGAGAGGCTACTGGGAAATATATGTAATACAAGACCCTTCATTTGACACCAGTATGATGATTAAGGCTGGAGATGTTTTCAATTATCCTGAGGACTGCAGGTGGTGGACACAAGGGACTTTGTTTCATGCCTGTGGGAGTGTAGCTGGTAGGCTACTGACTTACATGAAAGCTTATTGTTACCAACCTAAGCATAGAAACAGATAATGAATAAAGTTTATTCATGATGTTTTTTTCTACTTCAAAACCCCCATGTCTACTGCAAATGACTTGATTAAGATTAGATATCATTTTATTGTCATTGTTTAAGTACCAGTACATCAACCAATCAATTTAGCATCTAACCAGGCATGGACCTATTGGAACTACTTTCTTGGAGGAGCTGCTGTCCAACACAAACTGGGGAGTTAGCCTCTTTTAGCCGCTAGCGAGTTTGGTGCGTTTAGCTGGAGGGACTCACTGAGAATGACTTTTTTATGCTTTATCGTCTATTTTACTCTAAATTGGACCATCATTTACTAAATAAACATCATGCAGCATTGAAGAGCAAAATCAAAAATCATTAGGCAAATAAGAGGCCCTTATAGGTACAAACATTAATTTTAAAAAAAATAGGTACCTGCAGGTAGCTCAGCTGGTGCTTGGAACCTTGCACATTCTAACACTTTTATGAACTGTACTTTTACAGTATTTTTTAGCCTTTGAATTAGCTTCATTTACCATTAATATTCTTGTTACAACTAGTCCATTATCTTCTGTGCATTTTGCCTGCATTAACCAGAATGAGTTGTCATGTGTGCGTGCGGTTTATTTAACTGAAATCCAGTACTGCACAGTAGAGTGCACTGCACATTCACAAGTTGGCAGAAATACTTTCATCTACATTAAAGGCAAAAACTGCACTTTGTCTACGTGACTACGGCAGACTGCATGTGCACAGGAGCATTTCATACATGCACCAGGAAGAGGAGGAGGAGGAGGAGGAGGAGGAGGAGGAAAGGGAGGAGAGGAAACAATAGCTGAATAGTCAAGGTGTTCTCATGTGAGAGCTGGTAAACAACTTAGGTTGTTTCATGTTACAGAGCTCCTCAAGGGTGGTGCAGTAGTTCACCTAGTATGAACTCAGATTAACCCAATGAGGACAACTCCAAAAACCCAGATATCCCAGATACTGTACACATTTACAAAGGTAATTCACACCTTGAGTTTAGTGAGAATTTTTCTTGAGATATATTTATAATGACAAAAACAATATATGACTTATACATAGCAAAAAATACAAAACTAAAAGCAAACAAACAAACAGTACACACACTAATAATAATAATAATAATAATAGTAAAACAACAAAAACCAAACCCCCCAGGTGCCAGCTCTACATTCTTTGGCCAAGCCTCTTGGCATTTTATTGAGCAAAAGCAGGCACACCTGATCATTAGAAATACTGATGACACCTGAAACAATGCCATGGAAACAAAGAACATGTATTTGTCTGTAAACCATAGAGCAAGTTCTGCCAGTAAGCACATCGAGCACACAGGACCCAGCTCGTTTCAGTGCGTAGCCATGGCCCGCATACACCCTATGATCACAGTAAAGCGGCTGATCAATTACTTCTTTATAAAAAAGATTGGTTTTCCCAGCTGTCCCCATGTCCCCGAACCTGAGGTACATATCAAACTGTACACAATCCATGTTAAACAGAATGTATTCCTATATAGCATTCCCTATACCATAAAAGCCAATTTCTACTATAACAGACTGGCCCTGTCTCTAGAGGGCTCAGAAATGTGTGACTAGATGGTTGGAAACAATTTATTTGTGATCTGTGGATCTAAACCTACCCAGAAACTATTCTAGCCAGATTATGCAGCCCGAGCCGCTCTGGTAAAACACTGCGGACAGCTTGTTTATCACCTAATAAAAAAGCAAAAGCATAATCTGCTTTATCTTCTGTTTGATCTGGACTGAACCGAACGTGATCATAATTTACTAAATGAACATCATGCAGTATGGAAGAAGACTTGGAACTACAGATTGAGACCGGCAGTGGGTCACAGGATGCTATGCATCAGTGTGTGAATGTGTATGAATGCATTAGTTTCTATTCAATGGGCTTTGCCATCGCTGAGTGAAAGGGTGAATGTGGCATGTAGTGTAAAAGCACAGACTAGAAAGGCGCTATACAAGTACAGGTCCATTTACCATTTACCATCCATATACTCATTAGGAAACTTTTTACTGAACTAGTAAATCAAGTGAGAAGTCGGCTAATTTCTCCATAAGACTGCATGGTATCTGTGTTTTATTGCGGCCGATAGAGCTGCCCCCTGCTGGCCATTACATAGAATGCAGGTTTGAAACACTTACACGTTGACTT